AAAAATACAGTTATTTATATTTTAATATTATATTACGTTATATTATTTTATGAACAAATCTAAATTAACACATAAAATATTTGTTTCCTGAGATTTTATGTAACTTTGCGTCATAATTATGTAATAATGTCATCTTGCAATGACGTCACAATGTCATTTAGCAACTTTTAGCAACAAATCGACCTTCCCTTAGCAACTTCCCCTGAAAATTAGTTGGCAACACTGACAGGAATACGGGCAGCAGCAAAAACAATGGCGTCGCATTTCAGTGGAGTGCTTCAGCTCACGGATCTGGATGATTTTATCACTCCGTCTCAGGTTGAATAGATGTTTCTGCATGTAACTTTTGAAACAGACACATTATTATCAGTTCAGTGCTTTTACTTTATATCTATATGATAGGCAAATGACACCGGTCAGCTGATCATAAGCTAAACGCACGTAACATTGTGTAGATAACGATACAGTTTACAAAAGTGACACATGTTTCTGACAAGTTTTTTTGATAACGTTAAGTCTTGTAAATACTGTAAATGCTAATTATCAAGGACGTTCATTTAGTTAGAGCTCCCAAGTTTGGGCCCACTTTATTTGCAAGGTAATGGAAGTGGCTGTGTCTCAAAACCTAGAGAGCTGCCCAAGTAAACTGCTGTATATAAAATGCATGTAACCTTTACTGGCACTTTTGTTGACATATTCTCGGCAGTGTGTTTTATTATGGGTCCAATATGGATTTGTTCTTGATCTTTTGTGTTTGGTTCAGGCTGGATCTGCTATGCTGAGAAGGCTCATGGTGAATTCATCCTCCCGTACATCAGCACGACCCGCTCGCCGCAGCAGATGATGGGTTCTCTGGTCAAGGGCTATTTTGCCTCTCAGAAGGTACTAAACAATAAACGTCTGTTCAGAGAGGGAGAAACGGCCCACAATGCTTTGTGCTAAACACAAAGTCTCACATTAAAAACATTTTTTGAAGTATTTTTAGACTTGATTTGAATTTTGAAGGCCACATTAGACACTGCTTTATAGTTGTTTAAATATATTGCTAAATTATTTGTTATTTAAACTTATTATAAACC